CTTCTTCATGCATTTACATGATAGCCTGCTTTAATGTCTATCATCTTAGCAAATAAGATCAACTAAGAAATTCATTAAGTCAGGCATATTCACTCCTTTACAGAAACAGGAAATTTAACAGTCTATATCTGTAGTAGGTTTCCGTCACTAAAACACAAAATATGAAGTCCATCGTTAACCACGCATTGGCCCTTGTTAATCAAAGTTGCATACAGACAAATCCAATCATAAAATGAGAGCACAAAAAATTTGATGAAGGGACATTAACACCAAGCATATAGACAGACAAAACACAGTCAGACAACATTATACAACCAAGCAGCGCACAGAGAGTTGTGTATTTAAAACATCTTTAAACTGGCAACATGCTGGACTGGATTTCTGAAACTCATTTCAAATATATTGTAATGCATTAGACCTGAATGCAATGCCCACAAGAGAGAAAGCACATGCCTACCTGTTAGGACATACAAGACATGGGGGAGTAATGTCTGCTATAGCGTCTTGTAAAGTAATATATTTATACAAGGCCAAACTCAATTAGAGCTCCATTCATGGAAATGTTGTCAGAACACTTGGGAGACTAGCATGTACAGTGCTTAAGCTTCCCTATAATTAGCTCTAATATGAGGTCTCTAAAGGTTTTTGAATCACGTCTTTCTGTAACTTTTCCAGGAATAAATCTCTGCCATCAGTACAGAAATGCTGCGTAATTTATATTAAACATCATAGTTTACATTTCTTGTAAACCACCGTATAATCATTAAGATCCCTGGATGAAGATGAAATACGTTCTTATTTCTGCACTTTAGAAGTGACAGAGTAATAATTATTTTTCCACACTAAACATGCTGGGAAATATTATCCAAACTGGGAATGCACAATGAGAATCAGCCAAGATTGGAATGTGGAAATTTTGCTCCAAACACATGATGGCTGATTTTTTTTTTTATTATTTTGGCCAAGCCAACCTGTGTTATTTAAGTAATTTTACTTAACAGAAACTGGACTTGAATGCTGCTGCTAAACCTGTACCAAAATGTCACAGCATAATTATGCATGACTCATTGTGCTAAATAGCCAGCTGTGTCTTACTTTATTTGCTTTATATTATCTAAACAGGCAACTGATTTTTCATTTTAAAGCAAAAATGCCAGTCTGGCCCATTAAAGAGCAAATAAATATTATTGCAACTCTGGCTTATACAAAGTACTAGAAATGTGCTAGTGGTTTTCATGTGTTCATTTGGCCCATATTAAAAAAAAAGGCCATTAGCCATAAAATTTCATGATGCACTCCTACCCTCAACTCTCAAATGGTTCAAAGCTCAGCACAACAGAACAGATTATTTTTAAGCATCACATATTTCTTTCTTAATGCCAACGGGACCAGAATTTTAAACAGATCACATGCAGTGATGTTAACAAGATGTAGAAAACAAAGACGGGGCTGCAGCAGATGCCAATCACAGTTTTGCATGAATAATGTGCAGTGTGTAGATGTGTGGTAGATGGGTGGGAAGAGATTAGTGTGAAGCCTGCAAGCCCTCAAGGATAATGGAATGCATTTCAAAACCAACAAAACTACCTACTTCACAGTCGTTGAAGTTGCTCTGCTTGGATTTACCAGCAATTCAATTCAGTAAAGAATCCAGAGTGATTCCACAGCATTATTCATTTAGCAACTTCTAGAAACAGAATGCTGTCTATCATCATTGTACAATAAAATTTTAATATACTACTAAAATTGGTGATTCAGCCTAATTTCTAACCAAATGGTGATACTAAATTACACAGTTACATGCAATATTGCACTCACAGAATCTGACCTTTCCATTCTTAACATCATTACCGAGACATTCAGTGATTCAGCAGCCACAAAGCTGATACTGTTGCGCTTCTTGCCTGCGGTTGAGCACTGTAACACGATGGGAAGATGTAATCCCTACCTGAGAGAACGGAGCAACAAAGCTGACTCTGAGGATGGCTACATGCTGGTACAATGTCTCTGATCAGCTACTATGACTCATGTTTACCTCTCTAAACATGCTTCAGGCTCATGCTGTTCTCCAATTCTCTCACAGAATAATTGAGAAAAATCACAGAGAGGAAAAAAAAACAGCTAAAGCAGCTCCAAACCTTCAGCACTGATTATCTTGGTCATGTGACTCCTTTGTATGATCTGAAAAGCGACATTCTATTTCAGGCCACAGATGAAAATGTGTGTTACTGTGCGCAGCATCGTTTATGGCTTCTTTTTTTTTAAAGGCCTCATTCTCAATACTTGTTCTTTCAAGTAAAAACTGTAATTCTGAGGCTATGTGGATGTGCGTGCTTGCTCCCACATCCTGCTTTCCGCTCTAGTCTGACCTAGCAACAGGCTGTACGCGCCTACGTGAGTCAAGGTAAGTTGACTCTCCAGCCTACCTGTCACTGCAAGAGAGCGCAGCGCTGTTAACAAGGAGCGAATCTCACATTTGACCCTGACACCTTATTAAAGTCTCTGCAGCACCTCCATTCACCAACGCCCTCTTATCACACGCTCTCTGCACAAACCACGCAGCCTGATCACTTTAGAGAAAGAAAAAACCTCCATAAAACAGCTCAAACTCTACGGCCTCTTTTTAAATGGCCTCACAAAAATACACCTATACATGTCCAAATTCAAACTCCATTTAGTGCTTGGAAAGTGCTGAATTAATCTGGAGTGAAGTCCAGGATCAGTCTTTCATGCCTGAATCATATCCGTTAGAGAAACATTCATTGCATGTGGTCCATAACATCTACCTAAAATGTTTTCCAGTTGCATTTAGGACCAACACACAAAGGCTAGTGTATGAGAGCAGTGAACTTTATGTAAAAATGGTATCTCCCGAACACATTGACGAGAGAAACACAAATTAAACCCACAAGTAGCAAGAGGCAATGGGTCACTGGTGTCAATTTCTAGAGTAAGAAATGTGGTATCTTTTTATTTGTTTTTTATATCCACTGACAAGAGATAATCTTTAGAAATAAACAGACTGAAATGCTTATTATGTACAGGCCAAGGGGTTATGTAAACTGAGACTACATGGCAACAGTACAAGCTGATGACAGAGCAATGAAACATTTTTCCTGCCAAAGATATCTAATGCTATTGATCATAAAAAGAGAGCACAAAAATGATAAAGTATTTTACATCCTTTACATCTCTTACAAACACAATTTACCCAATTGTAACATTAGTCACAAAGAACAGTCTGCTAGGAAACTGACTGCTACTGAACAAGGACAATTGTAAAGCGACAATAATAAAGCCTATTCAAGTCCTTTCAATTGCATTGCAGTCTGGAGGATTATAATTTAGCACAGCTTCTTGTTTGTAAAGAAAACTTGCAAACTGTTTACTTCCATTACATTGAAGAAGCATTTATCGGCTTCTACTGAGAATTTTCGGGGGTAAATTCTCAAAGTGTTTTGCCACTTTGAGTGTTTACGTTTTGTAACATCTGATAGAGTGCTTTTCACCCTGAACTATCTCAATTCATAACTCGCTTAGAAAAAGACTCCCCCTCCTCCCTCCCTTTCTATCCCCATAGCCCAGAGAAAGCTTTTAACTGCACAGTAGAGCCTCTATTCATTGCCAACTTCTGTGGCCAACCTGTTGCTTAGCAACCACTTAATCAATACCTGCGGCTTGCAAGAGCGAGGCAGACAGTTGGGAAAAAAAATAATAAGCAATGGGAACAAAAGCATAAAAAGTAGAACAGAAATGCAACATTTCGCTGGCATTGAATTTAGACACTAATGGAGATTTTTAAGATTTGTGCTTAAAATGTGACCTCCACCAATTCTCAGTCCCACATTAATACGTCAGTGTATTACAGTTTCTTTGGCGTTTTTGCCAAAGCACAATAACAGAAATGGCCAGTATGTTGCATTAACCACGCATGTATGACACGCTTTTGTCTTCAAAAGGACAAAACTAGCGACAAAGGAAGCGATCAAACCTACGTCAAACCTCCCTACAGACTGGGCAATGAACAAATGATTCAGTGATACTGAATTTTTTAAAAAGTGTGGGTTTCCTGCATAAGTTGTGATGATTAATATTTGTTGGACAGTGATGTGCTAAATATTGCATGTTACAGCATACAGTAGATGAAGAGATGCATTCCTGGGGCTTTAGGTGTCCTTGGAGTTCAGAACAATGGAGGCCAAATACGTGGAGCTTCAGCCAACTGACATGCGAGTTTGTGCCTTAAAGGCTCCCCTACTGTTCAGTGCCAGCAAGCTGAAGATAGAAGATTCACCTATTGTGTAGGCTACTCTTACAAGGTAGCGAGGTAGGTATGAAATTTCAAGGGAATACGTGTTTTTTTGTTTTTTAAACTACTGGTAAACTCTGTGTGTATGCAGCCTTCTCTGCGCTTTACAAATACATGCATTTAACAGCTATTAAAATAGGAAATGCTGTGCAAAAGCCTTAGGCACTAAAAGTAAAAGTAAATTGTTTAAAATAATTTATTTCATAACTTATTTCAGTTCAAACACCATAACACCAAATGCAAATAAATAGAAATACATTAAAATGTAACAAAACTTTCTTGCTTTCAAAGAAATTACTTAATATCTTGTGAACTAGTAAAAAAAGAACAGAACTTTGGTTACAGGTTTCTCTTTGATGCCTCCAGCTATTGCATGGATTTGTCCCCAGCACATATGATTCAACTGAAAGAAGTAATTGAGCCAAACCAGATACTGGATAACAACTAATACTAGGTTTTCTCGATGAGCAGTTTGAAAACGGTTAAGCAAAAACAATAACACATATAAAATCATTACTTATTATATTGTGTTGTTGGTATTCATTCTAATAATAGTGTTTTTCTGAGCAAACACTTTCTACTGCTTAGACAAGCAGCTTTTTAAGTATAAATTCCTCAGGAGCCTAAGGTTTTAGCACAGTACTGTGTGCGCATATATTTCCGTCAGATGGGTTTGATATTCAGGGCTCACCTGAGGAGCTCTCTGTAAAGACAGCCAAAGTCTGGCCCCCCACAGACTGCATGGAGAAGGGATGTTCTCTTGGGGCTCGCACTGATGAGGCTATCTCCCCTGAACTCTCAACCACGGTCAGCTCCTCGTTCAGACTGAATGACACCTTAAAAACAAACCCATGAGTCCATCAAATGCTATCCATCTAGGTTGGGATATGTGTGTGCAGTGCACTCAAACGCATTTTGCAAGGCATTAAGTGTTTAAATATTGTTTCAATAGGCTACTCCCACGCAATAAATTAATAGTGACATCATGTGGCAAACTGAAGTGCTCTAAAGCCATGTGCTGCCTTTTTTCCGCTCTTCTACCTAAAGCCATTTAGTTTACCTCAGCTTTGTTATATAATGCACTTGTTCATCAACACAATTCTTCACAGATATACCTTCAGCTACTAGCAACCTTCGATCTCAAGCCATTGCACATTACACTTTTCTAAATTAAAAATGACATTAAAATCTGATGGTTTTTGCTTTCTAATCGGAATTGGCTTTATGGTTTCCATTAGAGACCACTAGTTTTCTGAAGAACACATTTAGATCCCATTAGGAAATCGTCAAATGTATCTAGAATCAGTCCCAGAACACCTGTTACACCAGTACATCATTTACACTGTGATATCAACCCATCAGGAAAACACGAAATAGGCCTATCACTAAGCCCTCCATCAATCACCAGAAACTGTTAATGGTTTCCATGATTTTTTTCAGGAGGGAATATTCAAAAAAGCATGTAGCAATCACAGTTTGTCCTGTAATCAGGTGCACCTTTAAATAACATGGCTTTTATTCATCATTGATGAAACACCTACCATTGTTTTTCCTTGGCTTCTTGTAGAGATGAAAAGTTGAAAAGGACTTTTAAAAACATTTTGAGAGGAATACAGGATTACATAGATTGCCATGGTGGGGATAAGGCTTACTTAGCTATTTTAAGCTTTCCAACTTCTCCTTGTCCAGATGCTTTCCCCCACTGCAGGGAAAGATACTTAGGAACCTATGAAAAGATGGTAGCCCTGACATATTCATTCATATAAAACCTTCTGTAACTGCCTTTTTTGCATAACGTGGTAGACATTAAATAAAAATAAATCTATACTACATAACTAATTATCGTTTTGTATATATGACGAACCTTTACCAGCCAAACACCAGTATTTTGTTTGGCTCTTGTTAAATCGACATCCTGGCCTTTGTCAGACATGGCTGCAGCCTCTCACCTCCACCTCAAGCCAAACAATGTGAGTGAAGGCAAAGTGCAGCATATACTCCCACCTAGTGGCCACGCTGGAGAACTACAAAATATTGACTTGAAGGGGAACTCCACCAATTTTTCGCAATTTCTACATAATTAACTGGTTAAGCGGTAAACAAAGCCTTTCAGAGTGGTTTGGTGTGAAATGATCCTTTCTAGAGAAACTTACTGAGTCAGAACTGTTCACTGTGGTGATACAAACCGAACGTCTGAAGAGTTTAATGCCTCTAAAAGCTCCCTCACAGAACGTTGTTATGCAAAATGGTTATGAATATGCTGCCTGATGGCTGAGACATTGTTTCACGAAAGTTTTATGACAAAGTTTTGGCCTAAAACGTCTCATTAATCCATTTATTTTAATCCATTCATGGCCTAGAGGTACATGCAGGGTGTTGTAAGGCAAAATTGTCTTTAGTTTTTAGATTTACCACTATTTTACCATCATGACCATTTTATATAAAAACTTAGAAGACAAATGTAGGTGCACCTTTCACTGGTGGTTTTGGATAGTAAATAAAATGGCTATATTAGTGTTGTAGACATTGCGGCCCCTGGTTCTTTATATATATATATATGTATATATATATATATATATATATATATATATATATAGAGAGAGAGAGAGAGAGAGAGAGAGAGAGAGATATATATATATATATATATAGATAGATAGATAGATAGATAGGGCGGCAGGGGTTGCGCTGTCGCCTCACAGCAAGAATGGCCTGGGTTCGATTCCCGGCTGGGTGACCAGGGTCATTTCTGTGTGGAGTTTGCCTGTTCTCCCTGTGTCTGCGTGGGTTTCCTCTGGGTACTCCAGTTTCCTCCCACAGTCCTTGGACATGCTGAATTGCCCCTAGGTGTGTGTGACTGTGTATGTCTGTCTGTCTGCCCTGCGATGGACTGGCAACCTGTCCAGGGTGTATCCTGCCTTCCGCCCAATGACAGCTGGGATAGGCTCCAACACCCCAGCGTGACCCAGAAGGATAAGTGGTTTAGATTATGTATGTATGTGTGTGTGTGTATATATATATATATATATATTGACTTGAAATACTTCAATGTACTCTAAATGGAAGTATTCTCACTAAATTCTCACTAAAGCATCCCCTAGGTGGCAGGCTTGGACTCCATCTAATAATCAGGTTTTACACATTAATATGCTTTCTGGACATGAAATAATACAGGCTGTGCCCAAAACTATGCTATACATACTATATGTACTATGCTAATGAATGTTCTCCTCAAAATACTATTTTGACATATAATTTACTAAGATAGATAGCTGTTTTGAAAACAGCCTCTGTCTTGGAGTGAAAAGACTGTTAAACCAAGTATCAGTTGACTTTTTTCTGAGTGGTTTAGTTTTCCACTCTTACATGACAAAAAGAATATATTCCACTCAAAGACTGGACACTACACACGGCACATAAAGACAAGCTTTCAGAGGCAGAAAGCATCTTTCATCACATCTTCATATGAAATCAAACCTCTGAAACAAGCACCTTAACGAGGACAGAGGTCGTACCCAATGACAGAGTGATGAAATATTGTAAGCGCTACCCTTGCTGGTTTTCTAAAGGACACAGTGAAGAAATCAGGTGCACTGAGAAGAATTGCTACTGCTTGCCTTACACAATAAAACTCGAATTAGAAATAAAAAACGGTGTAGAGTAAGATACAGATACAATATAAGATACAATAATACAGACTCACGTAAACAGAGTTGTCACAGAATGGTGTAAAGTGGAATGGTGAAGGCAAAACCCAGTGAACTTACTAAGCAGCACTGGCAAATAAAACCAGATTAACATTTTTATTGTACTGAGTGTCTCAATCACCTCTATGAATTCCTTTTGAGAAAGAAGAAAACACTGTGGCACAAAAGATACAAATGCAAATATTCTGCATCAACCACTTCAAAACAGCATATAAGAGTTTTCCTTGATGTTGGTGTTATTAAAACCTTGTTCTGAATGTTGCAGGGACTATCAAAGTAAATGTCATAACTGAGAGCCAAATGTTATACATAAATCAAGAAATAAACATATTGTCATTTTCATTATTATCTTTAACAAGCTTTTTTTTGTTTGGCAACTTTATCAATTTGAAAGCATGTCAGGTATAGATTTGTACAGAGATGGTATACCTCTGTATACCCCTTGAAGGTTCAGAATTTTGATTGGCATCAAGTATTCACCATCCTGATGGACCAGAAGCTGACTGGACTGAGGCCGACAACAATGTGGGAAGAAAAACTCATGAACAAAATGGGGGGACCCCGGTATATAAAGATTTTTTGTGTGTTGGGAGCACTGTACAGCAAAACAGGCCTTTATTACCCCCTCTTATTGGCTCACATTTAAATCAGGTGAACACGAAGCCCAGACGGCAGACTTGAGATCAGAAGAGAGAGACTTTAGAGTCTGCTTAGCTGCAAACGTTCCTGCTCCTCCCTCTCCCATAAGCCTTTGTTGTTTCAGGAATTTCACCTCGCTTCAGGACTACAGCGTCAAAGCAGCAGCTTCATGAGCTGGCTCCACATTCTTCAAAACCCATAAACATCTTTGAACATGTTCAAATGCTCACATGTCAGCAGCAGAGAACAGCATTGAAAGTACAGTAGGCCTAGTACTGTGAATGCTCCATTTTGTTGTTTTGCTTTCAATTGAAGCCTTGGATTACATACAAACAGTGACTCAACAGTGGGTCCTATTCTTTTATCTAATCATAAAGATATCATTTTAATAAATGTTTACAAACTAAAAGTAGACAGCAGTGTTTAAATTGACCATAATTGTTCGGGAGGACAATAGCTCTCTGTGTTTTTTTGTTGTGGAGTGCCAGTGTGATTTAAAGCTGCTGACAGCACCAGACGCTTACATTGCAATCAGCTCTCGCTGGCTCTCTCCCTCCGACATTTGTATGGATGGGTGCAGCCTGTCTGCCTGCTCTGAATATTGCCTGCCAGTGACAAAGGGCACACATTCATTTTGGAAGGGCATCTTATATCTTTTCCTCATAGTTACTGTTCTGGAATATACAATCATATCAGGCTGATTGTGGTTCAGGCCCAGAGAGAGGAAATGTATCAACTGTAGCTCACATCAATTATCTTTGACACAAATAACTCACCAACTCACCAACAAAGATCACTGGCAGTGATCTTTGCCTTATAGAATGTAACACCTTTTCACAGTCATCTTTCACAGAGCGTTACCTAAGAGCCCCTGAAGGAAAAGCACTTGTCATCAGCAATGTGGAGGCAGTTATCTGTCAAACATTTAAGACATATATCTAAAATCTACATTTAAACACCAACATGCACTAACATACATACATACAAATGTCCTCATTCAAAATGTCCTCATCACACATACAACTACCACTGATATAATTAGCACCAGTATCTCACTTTATCAAAATGGCATCAAAATATGACCAACATAATTCTCCTAGCAACAAAATATCATTGACTAATCATCACACTACCAGCAACAATTTTCAAGAGCATTACCAATTACTCATTCTGAATTTGTCAGACTAACCCACGTTACCCCCCCACACACACACACACCTTTTGTGCTTGTTTTTGTACTAGTGGTTACATAATACACACCACACTAACAAACACCACAGTAACTAGAGAGCTCCAGAAAAATGAGTGGTACAGCTACTTTACACATTTTCAAGAGACTACACTGGACATGACTTCTGTGTAAACATCCAACCAAGATACTCACTGCTGTTACGTTGCCTTCTGCTTTACAAATAGCTTGATCTGCATAGCTACCTGTCACTTCATGCCATAGTTCTACACGTCACTATAGGCAATGTCCATTACCCAATATGAATGTCATATTTTGAAAACTTTGACACAGTCTAGTACTGAGCCTAGAACTTTAGCTCTTCAGTTCCACTCCAAACAGAGGCGACCAACAATCAGTGTGTGAAATAATTGTGCAGTGAACACATGTGTTCGCTTGTGCTGTTCTGTCTGTGGAAAAATCTGGCACCTCTTTCAGTGTAGTTGTTTTGTGAAAAGAGGACAATTTTCTGGACCATTTTAACAGGCCTGTTTTCTCATACATCTGTTTACATCTTGTTAAGTTGCTGACCCAGATAAAACAAACTCAATGTTCCCCAAACTGTTTAAGCTTAATTTATTATGTAGCCTAATTAATGCATCTAATTCTTAATCAGTGTCATTATCAGCCAGTATTTTATGAAACCATCATTTCTTTTGAAGACTTTAAAAAGGTGCACAGAGCACGCTAAAACTAGAACGCAGTCCTTAATGGACTCTTTAAAGGGGCACTCTGGCCAAAATTAAAAATTAAACCATCACAACATTTGTTGTAAACATGCCTACTCTCTCTCTCTACAGCAGCCCCAGGGTAGTTACTAGAGCAAGCTTTTCCTGTTTAAAGACTAAGAAAACCTCCTTCAGATGATGTACTCTGAAGGTGGGAGGAACCTGTGAAAAGCTATTGGATACTGTTTGAATTGTTTTTTCCAGTAGCTGGCTGAAGGAAGCCAGATAGCTAACATTACTGCTAAAAAGCCAAACATTACAGCTATATTCATTAGCCTCTGTGACTAGCAGTCAGGATTTCTTTATTGCTGTGGGTGGACTTCTAATTATTGTATGACGTATTTGCATAAAGCATGCTGGGTATTGCAGTGAAAAAACACAAAAAGGACACAAAATCGTGAATTCTGTGAAACCGATGAGGCTGAGGCATACAGCAACATATTAAATGCTAGTTTAGGCCAGAATGTCTCTTTAATTAGCACCGCCTGGGCCAAGAGGACATGAGAGACACAAGGCCAACGCCCATTCTCCATCATCACCTTGACAGCCCTCAAAGGTCCAGCCGAGATAAAGCTTTCATTCACGTTAGTTTCTCATTCGCTGGGTCTCGCAATCACTCACGAATGGACTAAACAAGCACATGAGGCCACTCAAAGTCAAGGATGAACATGAAGAAAGTGGTTACAGAGCGTACACGTCTTCTTTCGGCTGATACTTTGGCCTCGGATGATTTCCAGACCTCGTGGCCACCTCGGTATCCCCCTCCTGTGACTCTTCCCTTGTTTCTATGCTCATTTCGGCCACCCCCCCTTTCCTCCGCCTTTCCCTCAGACTGGCTTTATGTCTGGCTGTTGGCGGCGTAAACAGACATGCGCTGTCGCCATGTTATCAGCTTCTCCTCCCCCTTTCGGTCTCGTCACAGGCAGATAGCAATAGCACAGGCTACATTACAAGGAGGGAGCTGGTGGGAAAGATAGCTACTGGTGCAGCTAACACTGGATTAAAACAAAGGATACGAACAAATGGAATAAACACGGACTGCAGCAGCGTTAAGCGGTTTGGATACAGTCTGCCAGCCTGACATCGTCGATGGATTGTATGATTTTATGCTACATATAACGTTGGATCCAAAATGCGACTTACAGTCTAGTCTAGCTGTAACTCTGATGCATGCACTTGTGGCCAGCGCTATTGGATATTGATTGACTTACTGTGTTTATTTTGTTGTTATCCGTATTAATTGGGTAAAATGACAGATATGACATGTTAAATTAATGGTAGCTGGCAGTGTTCTGGGAAACGTCTCCTATAAATAACTGAACGAACCAGCGTTGGCTAGGCTGGGAGCTAGCATTAGTCAACGACGACTGTTTTTAACTTAGCTAAGCTAGCCAGTTAGCATCCTAGCGTGCACCCCGGCCGGGGACATTGTTTAAATACCTTGAACAAAAGTGGAATTATCGACTCCTGGTAGTTATTGGAACGTGGCCATTAGTTTTATGTGGAAACTACTTGGGCAAGGTGAAATTCCTGCTGAAAGAGACCCTGTCAACACGGCAGTTCTAGTAACCTGTATTTACAACTCTGCCAGAGACCACCCCCTAGAAATGCATCACCCCGACTCAGTAGGAGATCCTGCGAGCGCCCGAAAAATGGCGCAACCGGCGAGTTTTCCCAGGCGGAGTGCGAGTAACACCGCTACTGCTTCTGCCTCTTCATTGACATCTTCGGGAACTACCAGCCTTAGCAACAACCTGATGCCGGCAGATGATTATAAGCCTTCAGCGTTGATCCAGCCGATGGCCCCGGCCGCGTCCTCTCTCGGGACTCAGCACCCTCCTCAAAGCCTCAGCATCCATTCTCAGCCCACACTGTTGCCCCAAAACCTGCCTGTGCCAGCAGGGGCACAGATTAAAAAGAAAAGTGGTTTTCAGATCACCAGCGTCACACCTGCCCAGATCTCTGTCAGCACGAACAACAGCATTACGGAGGACACTGAGAGCTGTGATGACTTGGATGAGTCCCACACAGAAGACCTGTCCTCTTCTGAGATCCTGGATGTGTCCTTGTCACGGGCTAATGATGCAGGGGGGCCTGAGAGGAGCTCCTCTGAAGAAACCCTGAACAACTTTCATGAGGCAGAGACCCCAGGAGCCGTGTCCCCAAATCAACCACCTATTCTCCCCCAGCCTCACGGCACGATGGTTAATGGCTCAGTTCACCATCATCACCATCCAGCACATCCCCACCACGCTCATCACCACCACCACCACCAGTTTCACTCCACAGCCTCTGGTAATACTCATTCCACTATGTCAGGTTCAGGTGGGACTCAAGCTGGCATTCCACTTGGTGGTGTAGTGACATCCACCGCCACAACTAACGCCGGAGCTTTACCAATCATAGGCCAGAAAATGCCTTCAAATGTGAGTGGAATTCTGGAAAATGCCTCTGTTGGCACAAGCGCAGTCATAGGTCAGCCCTTGGTTGCTGGTGCCCCAGGAACGTCTGCTGGAATGGTCTCTGCAGCAGGTGCTGCAATTAGTGTTGTTAAGCCTTTAACAAGCAATGTAAGTAATGTTAATATATTAAACTCCAATGTGCCTGGTTTGGGTGGCATAAGTACAAACAGTAGCAGTGTAGTTTTTTCTTCTGGTTTGAATAATACTAATAACCAAAACGTAAACTTAATGCAACAGCAAAGTGGTGTAGTAAGTAGTGTCATCACTATGACATCTGTCACCACTGCCTCTGCTGTTATTGGGTCCACAAGTGTTAGTCATGTGGGGACAGCTGACATGACCCAGCCTTCAACTGCTATCCCTGGCTCCAACACTCAGCCTCAGCAGGCACAAATGCCCCCTCCTGCTACTACCAGCTCCCGCTTCAGAGTGGTTAAATTGGACTCTAGTTCAGAGCCATTTAAGAAAGGCCGATGGACATGCACAGAGTATTATGACAAAGAGGCTCCGGGTTCTGGATCCTCTGAAAATGCGCCTAGCACCCGAACAGTGGAGAGCATCCGCCAGTTTGTACATGAGAGTGTGGTGGGTGCAGAGAGAGAGAGTATAAGCACAAGCTCTGTCAGCAGCTCAGTCAGCACTCTGAGCCACTACTCAGAGAGTGTGAGCAGTGGTGATATTGGAGGCTCCTCAGCTGTGCAGCAGATCTTTCCACAGCCACCCACACAAATGCCAGACTACTCCACCCCTGCTAATGTCTCCAAACCTCAAATGCAGCGCCAGGACATGGTGCATCCCCACCTGAAGGCCAGTGTGCCCACCACACTGCCAGCCTGCACTCAGCAGCAGCAGACTCCAGTCAACATGGGGGGCTTGCAGACGACCACTGGGCATCCGTCTCCTGCCGTGGCCCCGCAGCAGCTGACGTATGCCCAAGCAGCACAACTGACTCCAGCTCAGGGCCTGTCTGGAGTCACTCAGCAGCAGATGGCTTACCCTCCTGCACAGCAGCCAGCGGCACCAGCCCAGGTAGCCCCAGCGCACGTCAACGCTTTAAGCCAAGGAGGCAGCCTTCCACCTGACTTCACTCAGTCTCAGCAGATCATACAGGCTGCAGCTCCAGGATCAGCACAAGCCCTGCCCCACCTGTCCAGCTCCATCCCCCCTGTTGCTGTGGCAGGCAATGGTCAGATGATTCCGGCCTCACAGCCACCTGTGGGCAACATGCCCACTGCTGTAGCTCAGTCACTTTCTCAAGGGTTGATACAACCACAGCAGACGCCCTCCCCCCAGATGGTCCATGCCCCTGCTGGTGGAGTCATGCAGAAGCCAGTACAGTCTACAGGGCCCGGCGTCATTCAGCCGCCCCAAGGGCCGCAGCTTTCCTCTCAGCTCTCCATGGAGCAGCAGGGGCCGCTCAGCAGTCAGGCACTAGGAACCCAATATGTTCCTGCAGTTACATCAAGCCTGCCTGCATCAAATGTGCCTCCCAATCCTCAGAGTGATCCTCAGTCCAACTTGATCCAGAATGGCGCTAAGGATATCGGCGCCCAGCCTGCTGTCAGTGCCCTACATGCCACCCTGCCCTCATTGATGGCCACACAGCTGGAGGATGCCCAACGCCTTCTCATTCAGCACCAGTCTGTCCTCGCACTTCCCAGGCTAGCAGCTGGTGAATGTGCCTCCCAAACTGGCACCTCCTTAGGTCCTGAGGAGAGTGGTGGAGTCAATGCCTTAACTGCTTCAGCCAGTCTGCTGAAGAGCTTGCCTGTAGATGGAGAGGAAGATAGGTAAGTGTCATTTTTTTCAAGCAATTAAAATGCTAATTTCCTTCTTTTTTCTTTTGCTACTTTTGTCTTCCTAATGTCAAGAAGACTTATTTAATGCAGCTGCAGCTGGGAATGATTTTAAATTTGCTTAATTAAAGATGTGGTTTAGCTTATTATTTTGCTGGTGCCAACAGGCAGCTTTTCTGTTACAGAAGTTTGCAAAAGTTGCGGAACTTCAGATTTAATGAGATCAGTTGTACTAGTATTCTGACAGATTCAAGTGATTGGTAGTTCTATTGACGCTGAAACGGATACTTTTTGGTAAAATTGAATAGGTTGTGGAAAAAACATATAGGCAAATGAAACAAACCCAAGAACAATATTGTAAAAACAAACTTGAATCTAGGTCCCCATGAGGTGCATTGTTTAGGAACTGGTTGAAAGAAAGCTTTGCTAATGCACCTGTTTCTTTTTTTTTTTTAAAAGATGGCAACAATCAAAGCATGTGTGCTTGTCACCTGTCATTCAAATTAGTAGCATACCTAAATTTAAACTCTTGGACACAGGAAGTATCTCTGTGATGAGTTATAGGTATACTTTCAGTCTGAATTACAAGTCAGAATTATATTCATGTCCATTATGGTCAGTGAATACACAGAGCATGATGCATGTATGACTCCTCCCTGCCTGACAGAGCTTGCTAACAGATGTTTCTGGGATGATGAACTGCTTGGTCACCTGACACTCCTTAATGAAACTGGCAGTTCTGTCATAGAGCGTACACGTTAGGAAAGACAAGTCATCAGAAATACCAAGCCAAAACTGCACGTTTTTAATTAAGACATCATAATGAGTAGTTAGTAGTTTGCCTGCTGATGTAGTCAAACATTTCCGGTTTTTAAGAGTGCTGCTTATTACTTATTATACATTAATTATATAAGCAATAGCATATAAGAATGTGTGTGTTTATTTTGCCCTTTAACACAACTCATAAGAGTTTATGTGGAGTGCTTTGCGATTAAAGTATTACTTGATTAGTTTGACGTGGAGAGGTGGGGTAATGTAATTAATACCGGAGTATCTTATGATTTTAGTCCTGTCTGAAACTTCTGTGTTAATTATTTCTTCAGATTGCACTCCTGACCCAGTGAAAATTCCCCCCAACTTTTACCCACTACAAAACAAACCTCAGAAATAACACTACGTTAAATTAATCCCATACACATCTATTGGTAAATTTTTCATAATGCCCTGTGGAAAAGGAGTTTTTGGTTTTTTTGTTAAAGGATCATGCCACACTTAAGCATTTACTTGTAATTAAATCGATATGTGTAACTCCAAACATTATAACATGATAAGGGATTTTATGCAGTTTTTTTTTGTGGTACATTAAACTAAACTCTCACTGCCAGACTCTGTGTTCGGCTTTAGGTCCTAATGTATATGTACTTAAGACGTAAAAATAGTTAGATAGTTTCAGTAAATAAAATTATGAATTAAAAATGGCTGTAAAGAGGCAGTCCTTTATGCAGTGCAGCTGCATTGCTGTTTTTATTTAGTTGTGAAATTAGTGACTGCTTCTGAGATTAAATGTTTTTGACTTCATTTTCAAGTACACACTGAATCACCAGAAATGGGCCATGTATTGTTAACCAATACTTGTGCTTTTAGTCTCATTAGGGTTTATTTCAGAAATGACATTTTCCTGGTGGGGGAGGGTGGCTCACTTCATTAAGTTTCTGTATAGGGCTTAGCATGGGGGAAAACCTGCAGAGAATTTATGAGTCATATTTTTAGGTGTGATTGTGTAGATAAGGAGGAAGTGAAAAATTGCCTTCTGGAGAGGCAGCCTATACGGATGATGAGTAAGTGAGCAAGGAGCCTGGAAATGACATGGGGTTGATGCAAACAAAATCAACTCAGAGAGAGAAGTGACACAGTATTAACTCAGGGCCACAAGTTATTATCACATGGCCACAAACTGTGTTATGGAACTGTTTCTCAATGTTAATGTTTGTATTAATTTTAGTGCCAGACACTGTAGTCTTTTGTTTGTAGTCAGTATGGTTGTACTTTATCATCTTTAACCTAGTTAACATTGTCCAAGACAGCGTCTAATTTATTTGTCCAGAAAGATTTCCTGTCAGTTTTTTTTAAAAAAAACATTTTCTTTAAATAACTGATGCAAAGAATCTCATGTATGTTCTGGACAGTACAGTGTGCTGTTGTATGACTCACAGTTGCACAGTGCAGTGTTTTAATATAGTAATGATTTCAGTAAACTGAAAATGTAGACCAAATATGCATGCCTACAGATTTAGCCCAGGGGAAAACAGGCTCTCAGTGCTGACTTTTATTGCTGAGTGAACTTCTAAAACATGAGCCAAATCTTCAGTAAATCAGCCCTTATTCCTAATTGCAGTTGATCATAATATCCCCCATTTTTGTGACATTGGTCCTGTCTGTTGACCAGAAGTATTAGTGCCTTTGTTATGCCTTTCATTACTTTGTAACATTTTTTGCTTAATCGGTAATATTGCTCCATGTCGTTTGCATGAGATGAAGTCATTAGATTTTCTCTGACTTCATTTATCGAGTAGTTTTGTTTTTAGGCTAGTGCTTTCAGCTTCTGTTCAGTTTTTGCTTCACATTTTGCTCAAATCCCATCAATACCCCTTGATCTGACTCGGCACAAATGATGTTAGTCTTTCTGTAACGTTCTTAGGTCATGGTGTCTACTGGCAGACCCGTTTAGGAAGATGATTATCTCATGTTTGCTTTTTTGAATGTAATCTGCTCTTGGCAGTGATATAAGCTGCACACGAGAGTCTCAATGAATCGCTCTTTGTGTGGAGATCAAGTAGATTATCTCTCCAATTAATGGGCCCTGTGGAATGGGAGAGGAGAGGAAATGCTTTCACTCCACCAGTTCAGGCCAGAACAGATAACAAGGTGGATGACGGTATGCCATGATGCAGCTGGGTCTCATGTTTGGCCTACCTTTCTTTCTGCTCTTCAAATGACAGTGCTGGGCTTTGCTCTGCTCTACTCAGGCCTTCCAACACAGTAATTTCCCCCAGATGTTGTAAATTACTTTCCAATACTGATTCAGTTTCCATGAATGAGTATTAGTTGTAGTTTTAATATGTTAGATCACCAGACATGTGTTCTGTCACCTGTAATGTATGTCCATGATGATACCTTGAAGTGTGTTTCATCAAAGATGGTCTTTTGTACAAGCTGAAGTCTCTCTCAGACAGTGATGTCACTGGATCACCATATCTTCAGAAGACAACAAATGAAACCTCTTTGAAAAATGAAACTTAATAAGGGCAAAAACAGATCAGCTGAACTTTTTCATCAAGCAAATGGATAAAATATTTGTTTAAACTGCTTCTTTTCTGTTTTGAGTGAATTGAGATTTATTTTTTATGATCTTAACTTTTTAGAGAAGGACTGTAGCTGGTTACCCTGCCTTTTTTAAACTGATGTTATTTTGTTCCAAAGCCTTCAAAAGATGCCTTTTACATTGTTGGACGTTAGAAGCGTGTTGAACCACTAGCTTGTTTATGAAACAACTGCTTCATTGTTGATTTCTTAAGCAACTAAGCATGTGGTAGCAAGAGCAGCTCTGTGAATCCTGGGTTCTGTTGTAGCTTTGAAATGTTTTATTTCTACTCAGCTTTGAAAGTGATGGTCTTGCCTTACCTCCAGTCATACTCATTCTCGGGAATGTCAACATTTATCCCAAATATTCATTTTTAAAAAGCAAGCGCGCCTTGTTTACCATGAGTGCGCGTTCTGTACAGTACAGGAGTCATAGATTCAGCTTGCTGTTTGTTCTTCAAGCTAGTCAGTGTTGATTCTTTCGTTCTGTTATTTATCTTTTGAAAATTTAAATGGATGGTCTCTTTCTCCCTTTAATGCAGCCAAGGCTTCGTTTGTGTAATTGGAGGGTTGCTATGAAACATTCATATGTAAACAGCATTTCATTATTGTAAAGCATAGTGTTTTGTGCACATCGCAAACTGGAGAGTGCCAAAGAACAGCAACACAGTACCCATAAACTATATTACGCATATGGGTATTCATCTGGCCCATTTAGCCGAGCTCATTCAGATGCTGTTTGAACAGCAGAATGGTTAGTAGATACAACAACAATTGCATTGCTTTCTCTCCACAGAGGCCATTGCACTGTTGCCAAAGGTTAATTGAATCACTCTTTTCTTAATTGTCAATTAAATCTCTGCTTTGATCTGTGTAATACAAGATGTTGTAGTGCCTATTTTTTAATTTTCATTGGTTGGTTGTTTGTCCAGGATTGGAAAGGAATTAGTGGTGTGTATTAGGATACCAGTGGGAATGGCCATTGTTCACTTTAATTACAAGGCTCAGCAGTAGGTCTCCATTTGTATTATATGAAGCAATATGCTGCCTACCTCTTTATATTGGATACAGTTGTTTTTACTTAATATAAATCAACCATACATTAAATTTGATTAGTTTAGAAATTGAGCCCTGTAATAAGTCTATTTTTAGAACATCCCAGACTAAAATGATTTCTTTTTGGTAAAGTCAAGTAAAATAGCTTTACTTATCAGTTCTTTCATGTTTCATACTGTGCAAACCATCCTTCATATGTTTAATTTCCATTCAAAACAACTGTTTATTATTGGTACAGTTTATGAAGTTATTCATTTTTCAGTGTCTGGGGGCAGGGGATTTAGAAAATATATATTTAATAGAAAATTACACTGAAGCTTCAACAGCTAAATATCATAACATTTAACAGTGTCCTCTCTTTGCCTTTATTACAGTTTCTGTTCTTTTCAGAACACTTGCTTTTGGTTTTTCAAAGAAATCTGCAGGGATGTTTTTCCACACCTCCAAAGTTCAGTCTTAGAAGTTGGTTGCGTTTTCAGCTTCTCACGATCCAGTAATCCTAAACACATTGAGTGATGTTGAGAGGTGGACCGTAGGGTGGTCACTGCATTGTTCTGAGAACATCAGCAGCTTTTTTG